CTTTCCCTTGCTTCTGAAAAATTCCTTTAAGGCAGATTTGTACTTGGTCACTTCTTCCACCACCTCTGAGGACAAGTCAACCACTGACTGATAGTGTCCGATAGGCAAAATCAAGACGTGATCAGGCAATAAGCCACCTTTTGCCAAGGCGAGGTAGCACTAGAGTGAAATGATACACACCAGTTACTCACCAGTTACTCGCTGCAAGCACCAATTCATCACCCTGCTGTAGAAATTCCCTCCCTGAGTGTCCTCCAATCTAGCAATTATGCCTCAGAAACAGGGAAGTCTTCTCCTCCACATCACTTTTGAGAGATTATTTATTAGCAATTTATTAATTACTAGAAAAATGAGAGAGGGACTGCTAAAGTACAACAAAAATAGAAATTATTGAATGCCAGAGAATGCTTTGTCAGCAGCTGAGTTAACTTCACCATTGTGGCTAGAATTTCTTACCAGGACAAGAAACTGTACCTGAAAACTGCTAACAGCTTTTAAAATAAGACTGTGGACAAACCTGTCCCTGTCAGTCTGAAGCGGATTAAACTATATAGGAACAAGAACTTTAAGCAAAGTTCCTTTTAGTCACTCTATCAATGACTGAATTAACCTCCAAGATATACTTTAAGATGTTCACTTGCAAGGTAGCTTCTCTCCTGTTTAATCTATGCATAACAAAATTGAACTAAATCACCCTAGGGAGCTCTGGCTTCACTCCAGACAGCACATCCTTTCAAAGCAAGTCCCAGTTTACACTCAGTTCATGCTGGAAAAGTTCTGCCCATAACATAAGCAAACCATGAGGGGCTGGCACAGCAAAAGTGTTCAGCCACCCTCGTCCATCTCTCCTGCTGGAGCAAATCTGGGCCATGCTTCATTATTTAAAATACTTCATGCTGCCTTTTATAGGGAGATGTGCAGAAACTGAACACAAAACCAAGGATCAGCTTCAAATTAGGTTTGTTTGGTTTTTTTAAGATTTAAAATTGCTACAGGTACTTACATGAGTGCCAATACTAACAACCAAGTGCTTCTCAACCTCTGGGCTGGCGAGGCAGAACCAGCAGGGCCCTGTGGGCTGTGCTTTATTGAGTGAGGAAAGAGAAACAAGTGTTAGCACAAAGCTGATTTGTCAGAACAAGAAAGGGAACAAGATCTGGAAGATCAGTTCTTTTCCAGCCACCCTTCCCAGTTGATAAAGTGCTGAAGACGTCAGAAGGAAATGACTGCTGGGAGCTGATGGTGCCTCTAGGAAATTTCAACAAGAGAGGAGGTGGCAGGAGTCATACCCTTGCTGACCGTCATTCTCAGAGTGCTCTAAATTGATGGAAGAACACTAATACCAGGAATTTAGTGGTTACAGCTCACTAATAAGGAAGCCCCAGTAAATTTAAAGAAACAAATCAAAAGCAGGTGAAATTACTGCATAGGTACAGACAATGACAGATGCTGTCAAACTCACCTGGCAGTTCTGGCCTAGTCACCACACTCAGAACACCTGGATTCACACTCAAATTGTGGTACCTGAGCTGATCTATCATGTGAGTGGAGGGCAGTGCTAAGCCAAGCTTCTCCTTAGGGTCGGACACTATACCCAAACCCTCTCCAGGCCACTTGCAAGAGTAGATAAGCAGCTTTGCAAAGGCAATAAACATGACAGGGCTCCCCCAAGAACTGTGGGAAACCAAACGTTCAGTTCTGGAGCTCGTTTCTTAGCACAATAGTGTAACGAGGCTCTCTCTTCACGTGACATCAAGTTCCAGAAGACTTTGGCAGTTATATAGAAATATAAGAAAACAAAAAAACGCACATAAATATTCATTCTTTCATCAAAACTGACTGCCATCACAGCCAGTTATGCCTCTGCACAAGGACAGAGAACTGATACTGTGCTTAGTTGAGCACAAAGAAATTCAGCCCATGGAAACATTACATGGAAGGACTACACAAAGCATTTGGAAATCTAATATATAAAAACTGAACAAGTTAGTCTCATGGAACAAAGGCAACCAGATTTATCTATCAGAAGCACTTCTGAAGAAGGTCTTCTTACCTGCTGGCAGTGGGAAGAGCTTTCACAGAAACAAAAGGGGAGGCTGATGCCTACATTTGCAGCCCAAATTTCTTCATAACTGAGACCAACATTTCTAAAGATCCATGCTTGCAGTAACTCTCTCACTGACAAGTCACAATGCTTAAAAGTTTCATGTTAATTTCTTCAAGTCAGACAAACTCCCAGGGGATATACAACACAGAAATACAGAGGTAACTGAAGGGCTTCTTCCCTTCATAGCTCATTAATACTTTTTGAACTTGCAGCACAGAAGAACTTCTGTCTCCTGCATTCCCTCTGAGTGGAAATGTGTTGCTCTCTGGAACAGCCTGTTGTCACATTCAGAGGCCAGTTGGGTCCACAGAGTAAATGGCATCAGTCCAACCACAACACCACAGATCCAACTAGCTTTTAAAATGTGCTTGTGGCTTTACTTTCAGCTGTGTAGGAAACAAGGGACCCTTCATTCCTCTGTATTCCCACAGCATCTAGCACAGTGACAGAGCATGTTGGCAAAATGACACACACAGCTCAACAGCATGAGACAAATGAAGAGTGAGATGGTCCAATACCTCACTGCAAGAGCCCAGGGATACTTACTGGAGGAGCACCTGCATACTTACGGGGTTTTCTGACTTGTTTAGGTTGGGAGTTCCCTCTCTCTTTCCCATCTGAGGGACGTTTCTTCCCCTGATGCTTGTTCAAATCAAAGAAAAACTGACAAGCTGGTTCTTCCTGTTCAGAAAATGAAGACCAAAGCCCATTATTATTATTGATGCATTATAACTGCATCACAGAGAGTCATAGTACATTCAAGAATTAGCTTTTTCCTGAGGAGCTGTTGTCCTCGTTTGAGCCAGGATGAAGCCAATTTTCTTTTTACTGATTTTTTTTTCCTTCAGAGAAAGCTTGCTGAAAGTAGCAGCAAGTTCTCCAAGCTAGTGCACTGGTGATGCTCTAACGTTTATAGTTACTGGTGAGGGGCCATGCTCTGCTTGTTGAATCTGCTGCTTCAGACACTAAAGGAGCAGAAGGGTCATATCTGCAACCCTCCCATGGGGAGGAGAGGACTAGAGAGAGGGCAAAATTGGCCAGACAGATGATCCCATCCCATATATGTAATTATCAGTATAAATTCAGGGATCACAGAAGGGAAATTCTCTCTCCTGTCCATGGCCAGCATCCAGGGAGGACTCCATGTGTTCATCCCCAGGCCTGTGCAACCCTGCCCCTCATCACTCTCCCCTCAGCTCCTGTCTGCTCTGCCCTATCTCCAGCAGCTCCAGGACATTTTGGGGCTGCTCACAGCTCAGGAAATGCCAGGGGAGTTTTGAGGGTGGGGGGAGGCAAGAGGGGTTTGCACATTCCTGATTTTCTTTTTACTGATTTTTTTTTCCTTCAGAGAAAGCTTGCTGAAAGTAGCAGCAAGTTCTCCAAGCTAGTGCACTGGTGATGCTCTAACGTTTATAGTTACTGGTGAGGGGCCATGCTCTGCTTGTTGAATCTGCTGCTTCAGACACTAAAGGAGCAGAAGGGTCATATCTGCAACCCTCCCATGGGGAGGAGAGGACTAGAGAGAGGGCAAAATTGGCCAGACAGATGATCCCATCCCATATATGTAATTATCAGTATAAATTCAGGGATCACAGAAGGGAAATTCTCTCTCCTGTCCATGGCCAGCATCCAGGGAGGACTCCATGTGTTCATCCCCAGGCCTGTGCAACCCTGCCCCTCATCACTCTCCCCTCAGCTCCTGTCTGCTCTGCCCTATCTCCAGCAGCTCCAGGACATTTTGGGGCTGCTCACAGCTCAGGAAATGCCAGGGGAGTTTTGAGGGTGGGGGGAGGCAAGAGGGGTTTGCACATTCCTGAACACATTTGTATATAATTGTACATATTTTATTTTATGATTAGTATTTAATTAAAACTGTCTAGTTCAGTTTTCAATCTGGAAAGCTTCTCTACTTCAATCTCTCTCTCCTTTCCCCCCTACCTGGGTGGGAGGGGGAGAGGATCAAGAGCATTGTTGTCTCTGGTTTTACACTTGACAGCCAGTGCCAAAGAGAATGTCTGTATTTCTTAGAGAAAGAGGCTGAAACTATTTGACTGAATTGAAATGCCATCAGAAAGCTTTAATGCTGCAGAGGAAAGCACTTGGCAAGAGGATGGCAAACAGGTCTGGTGAGGCCACATCTCAAGAACCAGTTCTGGGCTCCCCAATTCAACAGAGACAGGGAACTGCTGGAGAGAGTCCAGGGTGGGCAACAAAGATGACTGGGGGATTGGAACATCTCCCTTATGAGGAAAGGCTGAGAGAGCTGGGACTGTTCAGCCTGGAGAAGAGAAGAGAAGGCTAAGGGGAGACCTTATTAATGTCTATAAATATCTAAGGAGCGAGTGTAAGGAGGATGGAGTCAGCCTCTTTTCAGTAGTGCCCAGCAACAGGACAGGGGGCAATGGACATAAACTGGTACTCAGGAAGTTCCATCTGAACATGAGGTAAATCTTCTTTATGATGATGGTCACAGAGCCCCGGGACAGGCTGCCCAGAAAGGTTCTGTAGTCTCCTTCTCTGGAGACATTCAAGACCCCTCTGGATGCACTCCAGGGGATCCTGCTTTAGTGGGGGAGTTGGACTCAATGAGCTCTAGAGGCCCCTTCCAACTCTGATGATTCTGTGATTCCCCGCCATCAGGGATTTCTCAATTAGGTTTCTCTATATTACATTAAGATATTGTAATTAGGAGTCCAGAGGAGGCCACAGAGATGCTCAGAGGGCTGGAGCAGCTCTGCTCTGGAGACAGGCTGAGAGAGTTGGGGTATTCAGCCTGGAGAACAGAATGCTCCAGGGAGACCTTAGAGCACCTTCCAGTGCCTGAAGGGGCTCCTGGAAAGCTGGGGAGGAATTTTGGACAAGGGCAGGGAGTGACAGGAGGAGAGGGAATGGATTAAAACTGGAAGAGGGGAGATTTAGGTGAGACACGAGTAGATCCTTCACTGTGAGGGTGGCGAGACACTGGCCCAGGCTGCCCAGAGAGAACCTGTGGCTGCCCCATCCCTGAAAGTGTTCAAGGGCAGGTTGGATGGGGCTTGGAGCAACCTGGGCTGGTGGGAGGTGTCCCTGCCCATGCAGGGTGTATAACTAGATGATCTTTAAGGTCCCTCCAACCCAAACCATTCTATGATTCTATGGTATCAGGCACAACTAATCACGCATCCACATTACTCAAGTATCCCATGACACTTAAGAGGGAAATAATCCGATTCTCTCCACTGATGAACACAAACCACTTGCCTGGCGATCAAATTATAAAGTTGGTAATTTCAAATCTTCTGAGACCCACAACTAAGTCATCAGGCCTCAGGAAGGAAGCCTTCTAGCCTCAGGTGGCAAGCAAGCAATATTTAGAGCAGCACAAAGGTGTTAACTTAGGACACTTGTGGAAAAAAAAAAAATCAGCTGTACCCAACACGGCTCACCAGTACTGAGGGATGCAGAGGAAATACACCATTGGTGCTGGTACCTGGGTAGTCAACCATCAGATGAAAAAAATAAAGCCAACTGCCAAGGACAACTTTTAAGTCTTCAAGCTGAGAGAGAATAAGACCATGTGTGCTGAGATGCCCATAGGGAACAGTCCTGACAAGCAAGTAGATCTAACTACAGCATTACCATGCAGAGCTGCATGAAGAACCATAGAATGGTTTGCGTGGGAAGGACCTTTAAAGACCATCTAGTCCCTTGCAGTGAGCAGGGACATCTGTAACTAGGTCAGGTTGCTCATCTTCGTGGTCTTCTCTGGACTCACTCCATCTTTATGTCCTTCTTGTGTTCGGGACTCCAGAGCTGGACCCAGCCCTGCAGGGGTGTCTTCCCAGAGCAGAGGGGGACAATCCCCTCCCTGGCCCTGCTGGTCACACTGCCGGGGATGCAGCCCAGGACACGGGTGGCTTAAGAAGGCACAAACTGTAACAAAATGCCATTGGAATTGCATCTATATAATTTGGTTGATATAAATAGTTGACAGAAAACCCTGACGTGTTTTGGACAGCAGTGCAAGGTGAGAACCAAACACTCTTCTAAGCTCCCTGAACACCCAGAGTGAAACCAGAGTACACACATGGAAGAGACGGTACCTCTGAGCACAGGGGTGCTCTGGTCTTCTGTGCCTCCTTCTGGGATTTTCGATAGGGATTTTCGGTGACATCCTGTGGCTGTTTGACCAGCTCTGCAGGGTCCATGGAGCTCATGGGCACAATGCTGAAGGCGTAGAGGTACTAGAACAAAGAGATATGGCTCAAGTGAAAGAAGCTTTTGCCATGACTGCAAGTCTGAAGAGGTCAGCTGTGAACTAAGCCACCCTGAAATGGTAACACAACTGAGCACTGCAGGAACTCAGCAAATCCATGCTGAAGCTATGGCAGGACATGAAAAACACACTTCCTGTGCCTGACTCACACCCAGTGCAACCAGGTGTTCATGGGGTGCTTCCACATGGTCATTCCTTTTACTTTAAGGAAAGATCTTTTTGAAAAGCAGCAGGACATCCTACTTGATAAAGAATTGATCCTTGCCTGTTTCCAGGCCTTCTTCCTGTCCAGAACTCCTGGATCTGTTTTTGTTACCAGACCCAGTTCCTATGCCTACTCAATCACTAGCAACCTGTCCTATACCAATAATCTGAAACTTTCTTAAGGGGAGAGAGAAACAAATTGAAAACAAAAAACAAAAAACAAAACCAACAAAAACAATGAGCAACAACTCTCTTCCCATCCCAGAAGTTATTTCCAGTGATCTGTAAGGGCTCCTTTGGAATTTTGCTCCCTTCTTAAAGCAGGCCATGTGGACAGAAAACATGAAGAGTAGCTGGGAAAGAGGAAGGAGTGGCAGCTTTCTAACCACCTTCCTCTGCAGCTGCCTTCACAGCTAAATGCCATCTGAACAGGTAGAAAAGAACCACAGTGCCTCAGAACACATCTTGCAGCCTTTTCCTTTCTGATATAACGGGTAAATGGTACCTGTCACTCAGGCAAGACAGATCCCTCCAGCTCAGTCAAGCTGGTAAGTGATCAACCCTGTCCTCTAGCAAGCCAGAGCTGGGCCTACTGCCCTGCTCCTTCTACTTGAGACATGAAGAAAGATTTGAGAGTGTCAATACCTTTTTCTTACTTGTATTGCCAACATCAGCAAGCGCAATAAACCTGCTCACATGCTGTGGGGCCTCCTGTAGCACTGTGTGGTTCCTGTAAGGAAGCAAAACATGACTGTACTGGTATGTACCAGAGAAGAGCCCACCATGAAGCTTCTCAGACAGCATGTCGGCCACATACAGGTTTTGGCTAGGAAGGAGGCTTGAGAACAGACTTGTGAGATGAAACAGCTGCACAGACCCAGATGACATCTCACTGCAGTCCAGAGATGAGAGGACAATTTATTTGGCGAAGTACAGCTACACCTTTTAGGCATTTCCTATGGAAAGGAATCTTACCCAACACTAGCACAACAGCCTTAGTTTTAGTTGTAGGTTGTTCTGACACCTACCTTGTGTCACTGGTCACATTTTATACACCAAGTTATGGCGAAGACACCAATCTCTTCACCACACAAGAGCTTTTCCACAACACATTTGCAGACACAACCCTGAATTAGCCTGAACAATGTTTAAATACAACTAACATGGCCTCAGATTCACAGCAAGGTACTCAGACAAGTATTGGCAGCTACTGCACAGGCATGAGAAACCATTTTGACCCTGTGTTGTGGCTGGATGACTTCCCAACTTCCCAAAATTATTTTAAAGTTGTCCTCCTGTGTTCTTTAAAAACTGAACTCTTATTAGAAAATGAGCTTTCACATGGTCCTACAAACCTGTAGGGAAGTCTTTCATAATAGGCCTTTTCCAGGGCAGCAAAGTGGTACCTTGGCTTGAGACTTGCAGCTAGATCAGATATTAACTTGGAGCCACATTTCTTGGTATCTATTTCTCCCTACAAAATACAAACCAAAGAAACTTGTCAGTCTGCAGTGAAATGAAACAGTTCTATACAGAACTGCATGCTGGAAATTTAAGAGACTGGTTATAGTGGTTGCCATTCCCTGGAAGTGGACAAAAAAAGTCAAAAGGGCTGGATCTCTTGTCACCAACCAAAGCCTACTCATTTATTCCATCCTGGGTACTCAGGATTTGCACCCATTCATTTCACCAACCCAAAGTTGTAGTATTTTTCTTCTCTCACCCTTGTGAAGCCAGAGCAGCACAGAGCAAGTTGGGCAAACACCAATAGATGTCAAAATCCTTAAGTTTTGACCACATGGCCAGAGTGCCAGAGCTTTAATGCATGAGTCAAGCAAATAGGAGAGCTCTGAGGTTTCCTTAGGAAGCAACATTTTATCCTGCTCCCATCCCTGAAGAATCAAAACACAACCAAAGAGCAGGCTTCAAACCATTCCCCTGGGTGCAGACCATGCAATTTAGCACCTCACGCCACTTTTGCTGAAAGCTCAACTTCAGGTGACAAAGAGCAAGAGACCTAAGTGTTCATTCCTCAAACTTCCTGCTTCATTCAAGTGACAGGATTTCAGGGGAAGACTTATCACTGAAGTGCTCAGGTGACAAAGCACACTATGCTTTGTCCAACACATATCATGTGTGTTGGAGGCACACATCCAACATGATGCGTATTTTAATACAATCACTGTAAATACACTCCTCTGTTAACTCAAGTGAGTAAGTTCTCAGAAAAATTCCTGCT